AAAAAAAAAAAAAAAAAAAACAAATCAAAGATATGCATGTTGTCATAGATGTACATTTTTTTTCAAATCCACAATCGTTATTGATTTTTACTAAATTTTAATATACCTGTGAAATTAAAAAAGTACAGGACTAGGGCAATGGCTCAGATGCTTGCCTTGCAAGTGTGAAGACAGGGCTTTGGATCCCTAGACCCCATGTAAATGCTGGGTGGCTTATCTATAATTCCAGCTTTAGAAGGATGAGTTGGGATCCCTAGAGCTAGCTGGCTAGCAAGACTAGCAATGTGGGAGAGCTCTGCTTTTGATGGAGGGACCCTGCCTCATTGAGTGAGGTAGAAGAGCTATTGAGGGCCTCTATATGCATGTGCACCCTGTACATGTATGTCCTCACACATGCAAACATGCATATGCACACATATGAAAAAAGGGGGGGTAGAGGAACCCCCCCACCCCCAGTGCTGAGACTTGAACCCAGGGCCTTGTGTATTCTGGGCATACTTTTTACCAGTGACCTACCTATATCTACAACCCTACCAGAAACTTTAAAAATCCACCCAGAAAGCGTGGTCTGTGGGCAGCAATCTTTAGTATTACTTGCAAGGCTGTTAAAAATGCAGACTCTGTCCTCTTCCAGATTTCCTGCTCCAGCTTTCTAAGATCCCCAACTGATTTCTTTGCACAGCAACAGGATTAAGACGTGGAGGGTTTACTCAGAATACGGCAAAGATTGGACTTTACTCACTAATTTTTCCGACATAGGGGTCTCCTGTATCTTAGGCTGACCCTCAACTCACGGTGTGTATCAAAGGATGATCTTGAATTTCTGACCTTGCCTCTCCCTCTCAAATGCTGAGATTACAAATGAGCTCCCCCTTCCTGGGTTTTTTAAACTAACAAATTTAAATACAGCATATGGGGAAATTGGAAATTCACCACTTTCACCAAGTTTGTTTGCTTGCTTGGTTGTTTGTTTTGATTTTTGGTTTTTTGAGACAGGGTGTCTCTAGCCCTGGCTATCCTGGAATTCCATTTATAGACCGGGCTGGCCTAGAACTCAGATCCTTGAACTCAGTGTGTAATCACCAGGCTTCACCACCAGGCTTTCACCAGTTTTTTTGAGAGAACAACTTATAAGGCCTGAGAGATGGCTCAATGGTTAGGAACAGTGGATACACCCGGTGGTGGTATCTTTTTTTTGTTGTTGTTTGTTTGTTTTGGTTTTTCAAGACAGGGTTTCTCTGTAGTTTTGGTGCCTGTCATGGATCTTGCTCTGTAGACCAGGCTTGCCTTGAACTCAGAGATCCGCCTGCCTCTGCCTCCCAGTGCTTGGATTAAAGGCATGGCCACCACCGCCCTTTGGTACATACCTTTAATCCCAGGTGGTACACACCTTTAATCCCAGCACTGGGGAGGCAGAGGCAGGTGGATCTCTGAATTCAAGGCCAGCCTGGTCTACAGGGCAAGATCCTCAACAGGCACCAAAACTACACAGAGAAACTCTGTCTCGAAAAACAAAACAAGAACACTGGATGCTCTTCCAGAGGACCTGGGTTCAATTCAACAACCACATGGCAGTTCCAAGTGGTCAGACGCCCCCTTCTGGCCTCTTCAGGCACCAGGCACACACATGATGCATATGCATACATGTTGTTTGTAGTATTTCTGTTGCCACTGCTCTTGGATGGCCACCAGAACAAGATGGAGAAAACCCTGTTGTTCAAGACACCACATACTTTGTTTACAGGGCAGAGAAATCAAAGTGAGACTGAGCTGGAAGCTTTCTCCCTGCTGACAGCTTTCATAGTGCCTTGAGTAGCTGTGCAGGATGCATGAGGAAAAAAAAAAAAAAGGACAGTCTTCACCTGATAGGGACCCATGCTTGTCCACTAACTGACCTGGCAAGAGGTGCCCACTTGTGTGATAGCGGCATGACTGCTAGAGAGTTGATACCTCTTTGTATTTGAGTCCCACTTTACAGGAGAGAATTCAAGCCTGGTACTGTAAGCTTGTTCAAAAGCCTGTGGTTGGGGAGGTCATAGACCCTAACGGGGAACTGCTACTACTGTTGTTTTGCTAAATGGACCGATTGTGCCCACTGAAGATCTTCCTTCAGATTCGTTGTTTGTGCTCACAGATCAGTGCTGTTGTCAGGTTTGGTCAAAGGTTGGCTGTTGGTGGCAGTGGTGGGCTTTGTGTGTGTTGTAGTGGGTGGTGATTAACGCTGAGCTTTATCACTGGTTAATGTGCTGGAAATGGACTGTTGAATGCTCAGCCCTAGATGGGTCGTGCATTTTACCTCTTCTAAGGCTCAAGAACATTATGGAAGTGGGGGGATGGAAAGAAGGTAAGAGGAAGGAGAAGGCTGTTATGGGAGACTGTCTTCTGGTATGGCGTGGTTGTGGCACTGATGAGCTCACAGCAACTGTGTAGGACCTGCCTGCACAAGGTTGGGTTTAGCAGCACTCCATCACAGAGAGACTCATGAGGCTCCACCTTTCGGAGGATTTATAGGCCATAAACAGGCTAGCAGAGAGTGGCCGACAAAGCACCACCCCTTCCAGAGGCGCTATTGACAGTTAATAGTTGGCGGTAGGGGTGGTCTTCAGTGGTGTAGTCTGTTAAGTCTCTCTGCTTCTGTAAACAAGCCTTCGTCCATGCTCATGTGAGCACCCTAATTAATGCACTTAGAGATCTGAGAGGAAGTTGTGGAGAGTGAGAGCGAGCCTGCTGCGGCGTCTCTGTGATTCTTAGCAGCACTGTGTGCCTTCTTGAGACTTAGGCTGGCAGTGCAAAGTGAAAACAGGAGAAGAGTGTGTGGTCCTGGCCTGCAACCCCATCTTGTGGGGCAGCTTAAGATGAAAGGACAGAAGTTTCCAGACCAGCTGGGCAACTCTGTAGAACCCTGTCTCAAAACAAAAATAACAAATGGCTAGGGATGTACCATGCTGGTAGAATACTTGCCTAGCATCACAGAACTCTGGAATTAATCCCCAGTGTGGGAAGAAAAAAGGAAACTAAATGAAAAACAAACTGGAGAGCTGCTTGTGTTCTCTACAGAGTGGATAACTGCGTTTCGACAGGGTTTGGGTTTTGTGAGGTGAGTCTATCCGAAGAAAGCAAAGCAAGGGACTGTGGTGTCAGGAAATTGAGTAGTGTGAGGATTCTGGGAAAAGTGAACTGGAGAGTCAGCTGGAAGGCCAGACCCTTGGTGGAGATCTGAAGATTTAGGCTGAGCGTCACCACCTCTGGGGCAGTCAGCTTCAGCCCATGTCTTCTCATGTCTTCACTCATGAGTTAAAGTCATGGAAGAGAGTGTAGATAAACCATAACTCCAGGTTTAATCCAGCAAAACCAACAAACCACCAAAACTAACACAAAAACCCTCTTCTTTAAAGGAAATAAAAATGGTTTGTTAGGAGCCAAGGTACACTTGAGCTGTAAGTTCAAAGCAAATTAATTCACCTTGCTGAATAATAAACATGTCATGTCTTAAAGTAGCAGTCAGTACTTTAGAAAGGTTTAAGAATTGGTTTGGAGGATTCTTACAAGAGTTTAGTGGCTTACTACAGTTTATTTGAAGACAGAGCCTGAAAAGATATCACAGCTAGACTTACTCTTTCAAATGGTGACTGTTCTGTGAGATTGGCGCTGAAGTTCTAGGTTATAAGCAGAAAGCTTAGCCATAGGAAAAAGCACTAGAATACAAAAAAAAAAAGTACATCCTTGTAATAAACTTGACTAGTAATATGTTCCAATGTTGTTGAGTAAGTATTCTAAGGAGTGACCAATAACTTTATGTTGTACTGGTTGAACAGGCTAAATATCTCCTATCTGAAATGTTTGGTACCAGAAGTATTTCAGGTTTCAGATTTTTGAAAGATACCTCATAAACATAATGGGTTGTTTTGAAGGTAGGACCTGAATCTAAACATGAAATTCATTATGTACAACTTTTACACAAGGCTTTGGAGGTAACTATACACCATGTTAATGCCTCTGCATTTTGTTTGTTTGTTTTGCGGTGCTGGGAATGGAACCCAGGCCTTGAATGAGCTGGGTAAGTGCTCTGCCACCAAGCCGCTCCCTGTCCGTTACATGCACTTTGACTGCAGCGCATCACATGAGGTCAAGTGTGACTTTCTTTCTCTTGGGATGTCATATCAAAGCTCAGAATATCCAAAATTAGAGCAGTTTGGATTTCAGCTTTTCTTTTTTCGAGACAAGGTTTCTCTGTGTAGCTCTGACTGCCTAGGAACTCATTCTGTGGACCAGACTGGCCTTGAACTCACAGAGATCCACCTGCCTCTGCCTCCCGAGTGCTGGGACTAAAGTTGTGTGCCACCACCGCCGGGCGCATTTCAGGTTTTCAGTGGGTGTACTCAGCATGTACTGACAGAGGTAGTGACTGGAATTGGGAAGAGGCAAACCACTGCCTGAGGTTTGCTGGTCATCTTGACATAGGATTCCTTTTATTATCATTTCAGTGTGGTGTGTAGTGCACGAGACCAGCCTCTTACCAGCTCTCCAAGTTGTTTTGTTCTGGGGCTTGTGATTCACTTTGTACTTTATCTTTTTAAGTTTAATAATGGTGATAGTGACTTTTTTATTTTTCTCCTGTTATAGTGGCTTTATATTAGGGCTCCTTTTTTTTTTTGTCTGCTCTTTTTGATTCCTATTATCTTGCCTCTTGTTAGAGGTATCTATTTTGCTATCTAACCATTATTGAGAGTGAATTATGCCAGGCAGTGGTGGTGCGTGCCTTTAGTCCCAGCATTCAGACACAGAGAAACCCTGTCTCGAAAAACAAAAATAAACAAAACAAAACACAAAAAAAAGAGTGACTTGGGCATGGTAATGCACACCTGTGATTCTGCCTGGGAAGTTTGATGGCAGCCCTGGTAGCATAGCCAGTCTCAGGCCAGCCTGGCGTACATAGGGAAACTGTTTCAAAAGAAAGCATCAACAACGGAAAGAATGCTTCTGAAATTAACTTGTTTTCCCTTTTTCCTTAGGAACAGCCTCCATATCCTGGCTATAATTCTAACTACTGGAATTCTGTGCGACCGAGGGCCCCATACCCAAGTGCATATCCTGTGAGACCAGAGTTACAAGGCCAGGTATGGTTGAAAATTGAGGGTTTTTTTCTGTCTTTTTTTCTTTTTTTAAGACAATTTTATATAGCATAGGATGGCCTGAAATTGTATGTAGTTGAGGATCACCTTGATGAACTTCTTGATTCTTATGGCTCCATCTCCTAAGTACTAGGATTACAGGCCCCTGTTACCATACCCAATTTTATTCATTGTTAGGGATCGAACCCAGAGCTTCATGAATACTAGGTAAGCACTCTGGCAAGCTTCAATTTAAAAAATTATTAGCATGTATTAAGAATAAATAATACTGGTTTTCATTTTAACACTTTCTTTTTTTAATTTTATTAAATTTTTTTCACTCAATATAGTTTGACCATATTCTTTTCTGTTGCCCAGTTCTTCCCAGCTCTCCCCACCTCCCTATGTACCCAACTTTTTGTTCTTTCTGTCAAAAAAAAAAAAAACCAGGGAAACAAAAAAAGAAAACAAAAACAGATACCAATAAGACCAAAACAAAATAAAGCAAAAAAAACCCAAAAAGAACACACAAGCTGGGTGGTGGTGGCACACGCCTTTAATCCCAGCACTTGGGAGGCAGAGGCAGGTGGATCTTTGTGAGTTCAAGGCCAGCCTTGGTCTATAGAGTGAGATCCAGGACAGACAGGCACAAAGCTACACAGAGAAACCAGAACTTTGTGTGGGCCGACAGCCCTGGACACGGGGCCTGCCCTGGAGTGTAGTTGGTACACCCAGTGTTGCTCGTGGGAGAATACTGGTTTTCCCTTTCTCAGCAGGGACTGACTGCAGGTAGCTTCTTGGTAAAGGATGGGAGTTGGTGTCCACTTGCCCTTTTCTCTGTTGGGCTTTGTCTGGGGTGAAGTTCTGCAGCTCTGGGTTGCTCTGATTTCACGGTACCTTGGTGATAGCCGAATATGCAAGTGAATCTGTAACACCTGCTTGTGAAATACCACCCCTGCAGCCAGGCATCTTGGAGGGGAAGTGTCTCACTGGTGCCTGGAACCAAATGTGACAAAATGGTGAAGCAGCTGCTGGTGGCTTAGCATGATGCATACAAAGGCCCTTCTTCTTCCCGAGGAGCGGACAGCACTGACTCTGGAAACTGAGGCAGCTCAGGTACACGGCATCTGTGCTGCAGTGTCTGCCTGGGGAAGAGCCTTTGGCCCAGAGCAGCACCCAAACTTGATATTCCCCAGGTTCTGCCATCACTGAGATCAGTCACCTGACACATTTATGAGAAGTATCCATGCAGGAAATACTTTATAAACAGTAAAGTGTGATCACAGAAAAATGAAGAGAGGTCTTCTTTTCAGGGAACTCTAAAAAAAATTTTTTTTTAAAGCTTTCTTTTTTATTTATTTTATGTTTTTCCAAGACAGGGCTTCTCTGTGTAGCCCTGGCTGTCCTGGATCTGCTCTGTAGACCAGGCTGGCCTCCAACTCAGAGACCCGCCTGCCTCTGCCTCCCCAGTGTTGCGATTAAAGGCGTGAGCCACCACCGCTCGGCTTTCAGGGAACAACTTTGGAGGCTGCAGCAACAAGTGGAGGTAGTTCCAGTTCAGGAAAGGTACCACGTTCTCTGCCCGCAGGAGTAGGATTGTGGCTATAGACATTGATTGACTAGAACTATCTGGTGCCAAGGTGGTGGCGTCTGGGGTCGGAGTTTGAAGTTGAAGTTGTCAAATGACTGGCAAGTCAGCCACACGGCGCAGTGGGTGCTTCCATGCTGCCCTCGATGCTGGCATGTGTTCCTAATGGCATGCAGGCTGGTCAGACAGGACAAGTAGTAGCACCGGAAATTTATATTGCTGTTGGGATGTCTAGAGCCATCTAGTATTTAGCTGGGGTGAAGGACAATAGGTAATTGTAGCTATTAACAAAGACCCAGAAGCGCCGATTTTGCAAATGGCAGATATGGAAGTTGCGGATTTACCTTGTTTTGTTTTGTTTGTTTTTTGAGACAGGGTTTCTCTGTGTAGTTTTTTGGCATCTTTCCTGGAACTCACTCTGTAGCCCAGGCTGGCCTTGAACTCACAGAGATCTGCCTGCCTCTGCCTCCCTGTGCTGGGATTAAAGGCGGGTGCCATCCCTGCCTGGCGGTTCCTGAGATGACTGAGATACTGAAGGAAAAATTAGTCATGATCATGCCTTAAGAAAACTGTCCAGGAGGTGGTAGCCCACGCCTTTAATCCTAGCACTCAGAAGGGAGAGGCAGGCAGATCTCTGTGAGTTCAAGGCCAGCCTGGTCTACAGAGTGAGTTGCAGGACAGTGAGAGCTACACAGAGAAACCCTGTCTCGAAAAACAAAACAAAACAAAAGGAGCGGGGAGGAAAGGATGCAGAAGCAGAGATAAGGAGAACCCCAAGTTCAGCACCAGCAGAGGCTTCACTGTGATTGCAGGGTAAGACCCTCTGAGACAGACATATTGCGAAACTGAGAAGCAGGGGAGGGGTCAAAGGAGCTGCCGATGCTGCTCTAACATGGTTATAAGTGGGGAGTGGGTCTGCGGCCTTCCCCTGTCATTGGTACCCACCTGAAGAAACAGTTACCTTTGTTTTCATCGTCTTTTAGTGTTCTGGGTGTGTGTGTGTGTGTGTGTGTGTGTGTGTGTGTGTGTGTGTGTGTGTGTGTGTGTGTGTGTGTGTGTGCTGGGTGTGCTGGGAGTGTGCCCGGCACACGTGGAAGTCAGACAGCTCTTAGGGGCCTTTTCCCTGGGCTCTAGGGGTTAAACTCACGTCATTAGGCTTGCAAAACAGACACTTTCACCCCGTGAGCTCTCTGCTGCCCTGTTGCACACTTGTATGTCTGCCTGTCCTGTGCAGCATGCTGACTCCCTCACTCAACTTCCTCTCAGCCTCTTGAGTGCAGGAACTGTGTATGGGCCTCTGACCACCACACCCAGCTTCTTCTCCCTCCTCCTCGTTCATATTAAGGAAAATTTCAAACAAAAGTAGAAATAAATGTTCTCTCAGCATCCCCAAGTCTTAACGCTTGACCATATTGTCTTTATCTTTGGAGTATTTTCTTCAAATATTTTGAAGCAAATATCAAATAGTATATTTTATTGCTTGTAAGTAAACTTAAGTATGTGCATTTTAAAATAATAAAAATGAAAACAAGAAACTACCATATTGTGGTGGTTTAAATGAGACTGTCCCCATAGGCTCTGGCATTTGAATACTTGGTCCCCAATTGGTGGTACTGTTTTCCAGATTTAAGAGGTATGTCACTGGCGAGGACTTAGGATTTAAAGACTTGGCTCACTCTGAGCTCGCTCTTTCTGCTTTGTGCTTATAGTTTAAGATTATAGCTCTCAGCTTGCTGCTCCAGCCTCTGTGCCTCTGTGCCTCCGATCCACCACAGTGGACTCACCCTCTGGAACCAAAAGCCCACGTGAGCTCTCCTCTTCAGTTGCCTTGGTTCTGGTGTTTTATCACAGCAGTAGAAAAGTGACTGATATACATAGCATGACTACACTTCACAAGGGAGTGCCAGACAGATACCTCAGTGGGTAAAGATACTGTTTGTCATCAAGTCTTATCACCCAGGTTCAGTTCCTGGAGTCCTGAGCTGCAGGAGATAGCTCTCCCCAGGTGTCTCTGAACTCGGTGTGTGCTGTAGTATATGAGCACATATTGACCTCACCACTGTTGCACACACAGTGAAGAAATAGGTATGACCAGGCATGGGGGCACACTCCCTTTAAATTTCTATAAAGTCCCATACGGATTTTCAGTGCTACATAGTGACACGTATCGACAGGTGGTGGTGGTGGCGGCAGTGGCGGCGTACGCCTTTAATCCCAACACTCAGGAGGCAGAGGCAGGCGGATCTCTGAGTTCGAGGCCAGCCTGGTCTACAGAGCAAGATGCAGGACAGGCACCAAAACTACATAGAGAAACCCTGTTTCAAAGAACAAAACAAACAAACAAACAAAAAAAAAAAACAAATTTAAAAAAATAGTGGCATGTATCAAGTTTCAGAGATTTATTTATCAGTGTAATAAACTCCAAAAAAATCAACATGATTTCATGCATTCAGAAGAGAAATATTCGTGGTTAAGTGCAGATGGCTTCTGAAAGTCCTTCATTATTATTAGCTTTATGATGGACTTCATGGGTTAGAAGTCGGGCCCTCTTTCTTCAGTTTGCTGTAATCATTTCACTGAGTAGACTCTGTATTGTTTGGGGGACCCAGTTTGTCCCAAGCTCCTGGGTATTCTTCCTGTCCAGCGACATCTGGACTGTACAGTACATGCAGTGCTGCTCCAACACCTCCTGCCTCAGTAGAGAGAGGAATCAAGCTGGGGTGCTTCTTGGCTTGCCCAGTGATCTAGCGGAGTATGTTTGCCGCAGAGGCTTGTCTGCTAAGCCAGGAGAGCCAGAGCAGGACACACGATCAGCTTCTGCAACCTGGCTGAGGGGTGGCACACACCTTTAATTCCAATACTCAGGAGGCAGAGGCAGAAGGATCTCTGTGAGTTCAAGGCCAGCCCTGTCTAGGTAGCAAGTTCCAGGACAGTCAAGTGGCATAATGAGACCTGTTTCAAAAAAAAAGAATTCTTACAAGGACACAATTCTAAAATTAAACCTACTTTGTTTCTAACAACAAATTGAATAAAATTCCTTCAAAGAGTAGTCCTTGAGGCTGGAGAGATGGCTCAGTGGTTAAGAGTACTGGCTGCTCTTGTAGAGGACCCAGGTTCAATTCCCAGCACCCATGTATGTGGCAGCTCACAGCTGTCTGTAGCTATAGGCAAAATACCACTGTGCATGAAATAAAAGTAAATAAATTCTCTGAAACTTCCTAAAAAAAAAAAAAAAAAACAAGAAACAACCAAGAGTAGTTTTTATCTATTTAGTCATTTCATTATACAGGACACACACAAAACATGTTATATATATGTATGTAATTTTTTTTTAAGGCAAGGTCTCTGTGGCTCTGGCTGTCCTAGAACTCAATCAATCTGTAGACCAGGCTGGCTTTGAACTCACAGATCCTTCTGCCTCTGCCACCAGAGTGCTGGGATTGAAGGTGTGCACCACCACTGCCCAGCTTTAGATTCTATATTTTGTGTAACTAATTTTTTAAAGAGTTCCTTATTTTTATTTTATAGCTATGGATGCTTTATGTCCTTGTGTGTATGTGCACCACATGTATGCAGTGCCCATAGAGGCTAGAAGAAGCCATCAGTTCCCCTGGAACTGGAGTTACAGCACCATGTGGGTGCTGAAAACTGAACCCGGGTCCTCTGGAAGAGCAGCCAGTGCCTTAACCAGTGAGCCTTCTCTCCTACCCTATCTTATTTTGTGTAATTACAGATAATGTACATGAGCTACTTCATACCTGTGACTTTTTTCTAGTTGAATGATTTCCTTGGGAAGCCAAGTTACACATCAAAAAGTCACATGATGTCTCATCAAATCTGTACCTTTTTCAGACTGAAAACCTCAAGGGCTTCTGGGGAAATATTAGTTGACTTTTTAATCTCTTCTTGTCCCTGACCACACATGCAATTCTTTGAGCATTTTTATTTTGTTTCTCTTGTTAATTTGTCTTTTGGAGCAGGTCCTAATAATATTGGCCAGGCTGTCTTCTATCTCATATTCCTCCTGCCTCATCCTCCTTAGTGCTGGGATCACAGGTGTTCACACACACACACACACACACACACACACACACACACACACACACACACACACACACAGTGAGGTTCCTCCCTCCCCTCAGACAAGGTCTCAGTATGTAAACCACTAGCTACAAACCTGAAATTCTCCCTGCCACATGCCACAGAGCTGAGATTGCACACAGGTGCCAACACAGCCATGTTAGCCATGTGTAGAAAATGAAGAGGGTTGGAGACAGCAATGGTTACAAGAAAACACGATTTTGCAATTTTAAAGCTAACGTGGGGCTGGGGAAGTGGCTCAGTGGACAGAGTGTCTGCCATGCAACCATGATGGCCTGAATTTGGATTCCCAGAGCCACATAGAGGCTAAAAAAATGCAGCAGCCATGTCTGTAATCCCTAGCCTGGAGTATAAAACAGTGACTAAGAGACTGTCAAACAAGTTCACAGGCAAGTGAAAGAAAGGACTTACATTCTAGATTGTCTGTCCTCTGACCTCCAGAAGGATGCTGTGACACATGCATGTCCCCTCCACATCACACACATACACACACATGCATGCACACAGAAAAGAATAGAAAACATTAAAGTCATAGTTTAAGTTTAGGGGTTCGCTTTAATCTTATTTGGAGAACTAAGCAGGATTCTGGGTATTAGCAATGTAATAGTCTGGGTAGATGATTAAAACCACAGGGAAAGGAACTTGCACTGTATCTTGGGGTAACACACTTGTCTGGCATGTACAAGGCCATGGGTTTAGTCCAGTGCTGTTTAAAGCAACAGCCACACCAGTAAGCAGTGTACTGAGGACTTTGTTGATGTTGTCTGGGAAGCAGGGTGGTTGCATTGTTCAATATGGACTATAGAATCAGACTTGGGTTTATAATACTTACAGCAATGTAATCACCATCTGTTGAGCATATTGTGTCGTTTAGTTTTGTTATCTCCCTTAATTTTCTCAGTCATCCTGCAAGGTAAGTTTAGGCTCTTCATGTTTCTGTTAGAGAAACTGAAGCTAAGAGTAATTACAGAGTGAGGGCTATGTTTTCTCTCTTTATCCTTTCTTTTATATAGTGGTGCTTCTTTTTTTGTCTAGCTAGTCAGTCCCCCAGGTTTCTGGATCCGAGTTCTCTGCTAGTACATGTACTTGTGAATTATATTTGAGAAAGCCTTTGAGAAGGCCATTACTTGGTCGCTTCATAGTCATCACAGTAGAGTCTTCCACTGATGCAATGTAACTTAAAGCCACAGTGGCCTGAGTGCATGGCTGTGGTTACAACAGGGAAGAGAGAGTGCTTCCTGGCCTGCTGAGGGCTGGGGTTTTCTTCAGGTACCGGCGCCTTCTCTCTTCCTAAGGTGTCCAGGGTTGGACAGGAGTGCACTTCGGCCCTTTAACTCTTTGTCTTTCTTCCCCTCTGGTCTTCGGTTTTTTCAGAGTTTGAATTCTTATACAAATGGAGCATATGGCCCACCATACCCTCCTGGTCCTGGACCAAATACTGCCTCATACTCTGGGGCTTATTATGTACCTGGCTACACTCAAAGCAATTACTCCACGGAAGTTCCAAGCACTTACCGATCACCTGGTAACAGCCCAACCCCAGTCTCTCGTTGGATCTATTCCCAGCAGGACTGTCAGACAGAAACACCTCCTCTCCGGGGTCAGGTCCCAGGATACCCTGCTTCACAGGTGAGCAGTCTCCGTCAGGGAAAACCGTCCACAGTGGAAAGTGAGTTATCTGTACAAGGAAGAGTTTAAGGAGACTAGAGCCAGGCATGGTGACCTCTCTAATCCCAATAATCATGAGGCAGAGGCAAGCTAATCCCTTTGAGTTTGAGATGATCCAAGGCTACATAGTGTGGCCTGCCTCCAAACCAAAACAAAAGAAAACACTGTGGATGTTTAGAGAGTTTGCTATGAAGGATTTTGGCCAAAGGTACCTTAATTATAGTTCTTTTAAATTCTAAGTTATATTTATTGTTTGTGTGCATAGTGGGAGTTGGGGATGGTACACGCACAGCCCATGTGTGGAAGTCAGAGGACAACTGGAGTGTGTTCTCTCTCTTTACCTTCTGTAGGTTCCCGGGATCAAACTCAGGTCTCCAGACTTGCACAGCAGTGCCTCTACCCACTGAGCCATCCACCAGCCCTGAATTACAATTTTTTCCTTTTCTTTCTTTTTGAGACCAAGTCTCAGTATATAGTTCTGGGTATCTGGATCTTCCTGTACAGACCAAGCTGGCCTCAAACTCACAGCAGTCTGCTTGCCTCTACTTCCTGAGTGCTGGGACTAAAGACATATGCCACCATACCTGGCACCTCTTTTGTCCGCCCCCTTCTTTTTCCTTATTTTTAATAATGTGTATGTGTGCATGCACATGTGATTGTGTGTACACGTGTACGTGAATGCAGGTTCTCACGAAGGCCAGAGGTGTGAGATGTGAGAGCCCCTGGAACAGGAGTGACAGGTCTGGGAGCCAGCTGACATGGTGTCTAGGACTTGAACTCAGGGTCCTCTAGAAGAGCGGTGGGTGCTCGTCACCTCGGGCACATTTCTACAGCCCCCAATCAACTTATGTAACAAAATAAATCTCTAGTTGTTGTTCAAAACTTTTCCTAATTTAAGCTTTTCCAGTGCCTTTGGGTTTATTATATTAATATGCTAAGATTATGCCATGTTGGACCAGGCGGCACTGGTGGTGCACGCCTTTAATCTCAGCACTTGGTAGGCAGAGACAGAATCTCTGTGAGTTTGAGGCCAGCCTGGGCTGCAGAGTGAGTTCCAGGACAGCCAGGGCTGTACAGAGAAACCCTGTCTCAAAACACTTAAAAAAAAAAAAAAAAAAGAAAAAAAAAAGAATATGCCATGTTTATTTCTGTTTGTTTTGAGAAGAGTTCTACTGTCTTTGCGTTTATAGCGTACAGATTCATTTATCTGTAGTGTTTTTGGGAAACATGCTCTCTCCAGTGGATTTTAGGTCTTACTCCTGAGTCTTTGACCAACTCTGTTCTTTGTACTTTTGGAGTCCAGGTTTCTCGGGTGTGGAGAATTTTTGGTAATTGATTAATGAGTTACTAGCAGGTCAGGACCTGTCCATGCTATTTTTTATTACTTTTAAGGGTTTTTAGTTGTTGCTGTTATTTTTGTTTTTTGAAGCAATGATCGACTAGCATACTTGCATATTTTTTTTTCCCAATCTAGAACCCTGCAATGACCTTGCCCCATTATCCCTATGGAGATGGTAACCGCACTGTGCCACAGTCAGGATCGACTGTCCGACCACAAGATGATGCCTGGGCTTCTGGTGCTTATGGGATGGGGGCTCGTTACCCCTGGCCTTCAGCTGCACCCTCAGTCGCACCTGGGAATCTCTACATGACAGAAAGTGCTTCAGCCTGGCCTGGCAACAGTTCTCCTCAGCCACCTCCTTCACCGCCACCCCAACAAGCTAAGGTAGGACACCTTCCACATGCTGTTCTTTTGAACTCTAGGTGATTAAGAGAAGATAAGGTGACCCTTGTATTTGCCATTGGTGAATGGAGACGAACTGCAAAGTTGATGACTACCTTCAGCATTAGTGCAGTTAATTTAGGTTTTTGTTTTTTTCTTATTGGCGCTATTGCTTGGGGATTTTTTTTTTTTTTTTTTTAGATTCTTATCTTTTTTGTACTTTTGTTATATGTAGATGTACTGGCTACATATCTGTTTATGCACATGAGTGTCCCTGGTTCCTTTAGAGGCAGATTGATTCCCTAGAACTAGAGTTACAGTTATGAGCTGCCTTGTGGCTACTGCATAATCTCAAATTGGGGTCCTCTGGAAGAGCAGCCAGTGCTCTTCACTGCTAGCCATCTCTCCAGCACCATTCTTTTGTAAAAAGACAGAAAAATGCTTATTTGTTACTGTGATACTATCTGAATGTTAAACAGAATCAAGCAGTGTATTTTACATCCTCAAATGATATGTGAGCAGAAGATGAAAAACTGTAAAGTAGCACAGCACTCTCTGTGGGTCAGTTACAGAAGCCACAGACGGAACAGTGTCTGCTTTGGGCTGAGTTCCTGAGGCTTTTACTATTTAAGGAGGAAAGCTAATTATTCAGTCAGTGAATGAAAGGGCTTCCCCTTCTTATCTTTTTTATTTATCTATCTATCTATCTATCTATCTATCTATCTATCTATCTATCTATCTATCTATCTATCTATCTATCTAGTTGTTTATTTATTTTTCGAGACGGTTTCTCTCTGTAGTTTTGGTACCTGTCCTGGATCTCGCTCTGTAGACCAGGTTGGCCTTGAACTCAGAGATCCGACTGGGTCCGAGTGCTGGGATTAATGGTGTGTGCCACCACCATCCGGCCCCCTTTTATCTTAACAGTGTTTTTCTTCGTGATTAAAGTGGGAGCCAGTTTTATTGGTAAGAATCTTTTCTAGTACTTTTCTGTTTGGGGAAAGATGTGTACTAACATCTCTGTTGATGGCCTCCCATTAAAACAGCTTTTTCTCCTGTCTTCCCATTCCCAGGACTCCTCCTACTCCTATAACCAGTCGGGTCAAGGCATGAGCCGGCATGGCTTTCCTTGCAGTGTCCATCAGTATGAGTCTTCGGGAGCAGCGAACAATGAGAATTCAGACCTTCTGGATTCTCAAGTCCAATACAGTGCTGAGCCTCAGCTGTATGGTAATGCCACCAGTGACCATCCCAGCAATCCAGTTCAGAGTAATAATCTCCCTGAAGAGTGTTTCTCTTCAGATGAAGGCACGCCTCCAAGTATTAAAAAAATCATACATGTGCTGGAGAAGGTCCAGTATCTTGAGCAAGAAGTCGAAGAGTTTGTAGGAAAAAAGACAGACAAAGCATACTGGCTTCTGGAAGAAATGCTGACGAAGGAACTCTTAGAACTGGATTCTGTTGAAACTGGGGGCCAGGACTCCGTCCGCCAGGCCAGGAAAGAGGCCGTCTGTAAGATCCAGGCCATACTGGAGAAATTAGAGAAAAAGGGATTATGAAATAATTTGGAAGGAAGGGTAAAGCCTGTTACTAATGTGGCCAAAGAACTCTTGGATTTGGTTAGTTACCATCTTTTGAAATGCCTGTTGTGACAAGAACAACACATTCCAACTTCTGACCTAAAACCTGAAAGGAGAAAACATGGAAGGCTGGCAGAGGACTGGAAGAGCGCGTTACTGGATTCTGTCGGTTTTCAGATGACTGAACAGAACAGGAAACTGGAGTTACCAGTACTGCCAAGTAGACCCACTGCTTAAGAAATCCATGGGCGTCTCTAGGCTGCTGCTTATCAGCAGGAGGGAAATAGACTTTCCGTAACAGGTTCTCAAAGCATATTCTGAGACAAACAGGCTGTTTTGTAAGCATCCAGACTGTCACATTTTTGTGCATTGTGACTGCATATGCTTCATGTGTAAATTATAGCTTAGACTCTTGGACCTCGGTTTCGTTCACAAATGTAATACTACTCTACTTCTTGGTACATTTTGTAGTACTATGTTTAATATAATCGAATACCGGCAGCCAGATAGATGGGCAGTTCTGAACAGTCACACCCTTTCCCACTGGGATACCCTGCAGTGTGTGGTGAGCTCCGGAAGTCAGTCATTATCTCCTTTTTGTGTAGCATGTTATGTTAGAGTTCTTCCCACTTCTGCTTTTCATAGGAACCGGGAAGGTGAGTTTGGAAATTACATAACCTAAGAATGACAATGTTTGTGGACATTTTACTTCTTTGCTTTTTTGTTGTATTTGGATAAAGATCCACTTTTAAAATTGCTTTTTTAAGAAAAATATCTTTGGCTATTGCTGCTTCTAGAGAGCCTTATGATAGAAATATGAAACCTAAATGCCACAGTTAGTATAAATAGTGACTGCAAAAAGCAACAAATACAATGATTTAATAATACCATTCTCCATTTACTAGTTTCTGTGGGCAGGTTTGAGCTCGGTGTATAGCTGACAGAAGAAGGAAAAGGAGATTTACGCTCAGGGAATGCATCAGCCATAGCTAAAGTAGGGAATTCATGGTTTTTTAGATTTAAATTTGGTCTTTACTTCATAGAATAAATTACATAGAATTGCCTGTTTCATAAGAAAGATATTATGTATTAATAACAGTTGATTTGTTAAACCAAGTTTAAGAAGGGGGCCTTTCTTGGTTATCCATATATGTTATTATACAGAGACAGGTAAATAATTTACCTTTTAAATCTAAAGGGAGGTCTAGCGTACAGTATCTGCTTTTGCAACAAAAGCAGTTTCTTAGTAAAATATCAGAGTGATACTTGTTTTCTAGACTAGCGGGCCTGTATATTAGTAATAGTAAACCTACAGCCGCCATCCCTTCTACTCACATAGAGCAAAACCAATGCCAACATATACTGAGTAGAAATGTAGTAAAAATATTACATGGAGGCTGGAGGTGTGGCTAAGTTAGTAGAGTGTTTGCCTCGCATCCATGAAGTCCTGGGTTAAATCCTCAGTGTTGCATAAGCCAAGCATAGTGGTATATACCTGTCTCAGCTTTTGGGAAGTTGAGGCAGGAAGATTGCAAGTTTAAGGTCATCTTCAGCTATATAATGAAATTTAAGGCCATCCTGAGCCACATGAGATCCTGTCTCAAAAAACTAAAAGGATAAGTGATTCAAGATGTCATGATTTTATCCAGGTGTCTTGTTTTTAAAAGATTTTATTTGGCTGGGTTTAGTGGTATACACCTTTAATCCAGTCAGAGGCAGGTAGATCTCTTGAGTGCAAGATCAACCTGGTCTACAGAGAGTTCCTGGCCAGCCAGGGGTTCATAGTGAGACACACACACTATCTATCTATCTATCTATCTATCTATCTATCTATCTATCTATCTATCTATCTATCTATCTATCTATCTATCTACCTACCTAC